GTGTTTCCAAGGCATTTTCTGATGCTGTGGCTGAGACACACAGTGCTTGTGATGAAAAAATGTCCTGAAATTTTGGCTGAGAATTAATTTGTGCAGTTGAAGGCCCTAGCTGACCCCAGAGATGGTGGAAATGAAGGCCAGGAACTAGTACAAAGAAGGGCTGTAAGAATAAAACAGTGAGAGATCATTCCCAGGTCGAAAGTCTGTTGCAAAGTATTTTTGTAACTGATAAAATAATTTTGTATGGCTGAAAACATATGGAGGGTGCAGACTAATATTGCTCATCTCTATCAGAAGGTACAGCAGGACTCTCAGGTTTCATCTTGGAAACCTTTTTCCAGTCACTTGCCCTGCTCTGTTCCTGTCCCTCTCTCTAAGATAGGGTTTAACACTTTTTAAAAATGGTTTGAGATCTGCAGATAAAGAAGCTTTGAGAAATAGTATTTATTACAGTGGAATGATTCTATGATTGTGTTCCAAGTAATCAAATGTTATTGACATCAACGTGCCTGTGAATTTTCTGGTGTGTATTTCAGCATGTAGGAACAAGTAAAGGCCTTGCTAAACCTGTCAGCTGAGCCCCTGACTTACAGAGCTGGTAATTCATTTTAATATGCTGAATTTCTAATGAAAACTCAAAAAGACTTTCTTAGGAGATATGGCAAAATTATTTGTTTGTTTTTTTTTTTTAATTCCCTTTAGAGGTGATGATGATGATAAAATAATGAATAATTTTGCATTTGATCCAGTAAGAACTGTTAGAGCAAGGAGTGTAGCAGGGAAGGGAAGCCTCTTTGAAAGCTGATGTGTCAGGTGCACTGAAGGCAACTTTTTGTCTTGCTCTGGATACGCAGCTTTGGGTTTCTCATTCTCTTCACTGCAATTATTTTGGCTGCAATATTAAAAATGTATTTCCTGCATGTAGCACCAAGAAGTTCTGTGCACACAGTAAACAGATTTTACGTGCTCAGACTTGACAAGCTGAGGGAAGGTCGTTTTTAGCAATTATTTGTCATGAAAACCTGCAGCAAAAGTGGATAAAACTTGTCAGAAATGAGACTGTGCTTCTGTGACAAGTGTATCTGTGTATTTCATTCCTAATCACAAGGATTTTCCTAATGTTTACATGAAAGCAGAGCTGTCTAACTTGGTTTTCAGCTTGGTTAGATCATGTGTTAAGTTAGCAGGTTGGCATTTAATGGATTTGGACAAAAGCTGGACACAAGGTGTGCTGTTTGCTGGTGCTGCCTTCCACATTGCCATTGGTTTCAAACTCCCTGGTGTCCATGGAGCTGTTAAAGGCAATGGGGCAAACAGCAGTCATTTTACTGAGGTGACTTGTGGAGCCATAATAACGTATCTGATTCACTGCCAGGATTTCCTGACCTACAGAATTCATTCCACTGGGTTTTCTTTTTTTCCACAGAGTGTTACTGTTTTGTGTTTTAAGGCTGGAGCATGTTACTGTGATCCTCTTGACTGAACTTGTCATTTATCATAGGCAGTAGGACTTCTCTTGTGATGCCCAAGCTGGGCCTGAACTAGAAGGTCTTCTTTTAAAAGATGCCTACTGATCAAGAATTCATCACAGCCTCTAAAACAATTGCTATGATGACTAATTAACCTCATTACTCAATATTTACACTGTATTTCTGGCCTGAATTTTTACTCTGGGACTTTCTTCTGTTTTTCACTGGGAGGCTGAGGACTCCAGGCTCTCCTATTGGCTGCCTCTCTGTGTTCTCCCACCCAGTCACCCTAATGCTTCTTTCCTGAGCTGATTGCAGCATGAACTTTCTTTCTATAAGCCACGTTTTCCCATCAGTCTCACCCTGTTCCCTGAATGGTTTCCAATCCTCTGATGAGTGGATCCTGGACCTGCTCACAGCATGCCAAGAGCTGTCGTGCAGCTGCCAAATCCAGAAGTGATGGAACTTTTCCCTTTGAATTTGTACCTTCACTCTGTTGCTGTGGGTCTCTCACTGGTCCCTGCTGCAGTGTCATGCTGGGAGCCACAACCTATGAGCAGTAAAACACTCAAAGCCTTTCCCTCTGACATCCATCCTGGGTGCCCACAAAGCTGGAGCCACCCCCTCTTTATTTTTAGATCACATAAATACATACTTCTTGATTTGGCAAAGCATTCAGCATTCCCTGTATCCCAGAGGACATCCCATGGCAATGAGGGTCAGCCATGTGGGTCCCCCTTCCCAACACCAGTTCATCTATCAAATGGAACCACAGGGTCTGGCACTAAATTATCTGTGTCAGGCAAAGAGCTCAGAATCATTTCAGGGTGAACAGCTACAGAGCAGGCAGTGTGCAAGGTCTTGTGTGGTTTGCCTGTAGCCTTAGCAAAAAAATAGCAGAAGAACCAGAGAATAGTGTTCTGAGTCATGCCAACCTGAGCTCCAAGACCCTGGCAGGGAGCAATGTTGGCTAGGGAGCCGTGGGAAAGCTCCCCCAGTGGTGGGTAGAGTGGTGGCTGGGGCGCGTTACAGACACTGCACACTGCTGTTGTCAGCCAAGCCACAGGGTCACTTGATCTTCAGTCAAGGAACTCCTGTCTGAAGTGAATAGGCCCCTGCTGAAGGATGGAGTGGGCTTTCATTAGGACTTTCTTGGCCTGTTCACATGAGATGTGCACTTGTTATGCTTGGTGAAGTGAATATTGCATCTGCTATGAATCCTGGCTTGTACCACACACAATAGGAGCCCTTATTCTGCAGCTTCTCATTCTGGGCAGTTTTGTTGTCTCTCTGCACTCTTGCTGGAGCCACAGGTTAGTCAAGTGAAGCCCCACACCTTGGCAGTGAACAAGAGAATCACCAAAGCAGCTCAATAAACAGACTCTGTGCCCAAGGGTTGTGGGAGCAGCAGGAGGGGCAGCTTCTTCTGGTGCAAAGATGTGCTGGTAGGTACCTTGTACCTGCAGGTGGTTTTGGAACTGACTCTCACTGCACTCCAAATGTGGCAGCCACACACAATCCAAGTGTGGCAGCCCACATTCTCCACAGGCAGTGCTGCACCATTAACATGAACTCCTGAAGTGTTCAGCTCATTGTAAAGTGAGAGAGACTGAAAAGATGGAGCCCTTTGCATTCTGAGCTGCACTTCCACAGCGAAGTCTCCACTTCCCTGAAAATGCCACCATGGCTCCCAGCTCCCCCCTTTCCCTCCCAGTCTCTACCATGCTCTGTTGAGTATGAACACCTCATTAGGGAAGGGAAAACAAACCATCACACTCGTGAAAGATCAGTAACTATAGCCTAGTTTATTGACTGCAGTCAAGTTCTATTATGCCTCAAATAATTAAATATTGCAACTGTGACATTAAAAATACAGGCCAATTTACCAAAATAATTGTATTTTAAAGATTATGTACATATTATACATTTTACAGTATCATGTAAACTTTTTTTATACATAAATCTGATTTATGGTAACTAGAAAACCCAAAATACTGACAAAAATATTCCTATGAAACATAAGCACTGTCTGGGATATTTAGGAAAACTGCAAATAATGGTAACCAACTATAAAACAATGCAACTGAGTTAGTAGAAAAATGAATTAAATTACATTCATATAAAAAAATTAAACTAAAAACATTGCTAGGCATCATTATTAAAAAGGGAAAAATCCCAAACCCTCTCCTTTTATATATTAACACACTTTCAAGGGGAGCTACTGTGTGCCTCATTTCCAGCAATGGGGCTTAGCCTGGGAAATCCAGATTCCCATTCTCCTTTTAACATATTAAATAAGGAGGGTCTGTACCAATACAAATATTGTATATACTCATGCACTGTGGTTATGTTCATAGTAGCCACCAAGGCACCGTTTTTGTGTCAATTCCCCCCTCCCTCCCCACCCCTTACATTTCAACATGCAGTGCTAGAGATGTTTGCTGTTCAAAAAAACTTCTGAGGCATTTCTCTCTAGTCTGATTTTTCACCCTAGGGGACACACAAATCCTTCCAGCATAGACTGAAAAATAAATAAGTAAAAGAAGGTAAAGGCTTTATAGTTCAACATCTTGCACCAGTCATGTAAACTTGGTTAAGATGCCTTAACCCTCTCTAGTCTCCAGAAAGCCTGTCACTGAGGTGATGTAATTATAGTTCTCTGGTCAAATATTTTATATATTAACAAGGACAACAAAATAGTTCCTTCTATACCTCTTCACTCACGTGACAGCTGTAGTGTTTTCAGTTGGCATAATGGATATTCAAGTCTAAATTGGTTTCTAGCTCACATCTCAGCACATCCCCACCTGCATTCCCTGCTATGTAGTGCATGGAGTTGAAGTACCCAGGTATGCTCATTTGCATAAACGCATAACTTATCTGTATAGAAACAGCTGCAAAAATCAACAGCTGCCAACCTGGCTGCATTTTGAAGGCTTGTAAAACTTGCATATTTTATAACTGTTCTGGACCTGTAAAAGGCCTGGTCCTGCAAAGAGTTAGGCATGTGCTATATTATCCTCAAGGATTGGAACAATCTCAGTAGATTGTAACAAGTTCAACTACCCCTGGGGCTCTATGAGCACCACAAATGGTGGCTCAGAGGGGCAGTGTGGCCAGTCACCAGTCACACTATCAAGGAAGACAAGAGCTGGTGTGACTGATGCTGGCTGGGTTTAGGCACTAGATATCCCTCCGATGTTGAATGTATCTGAAATTAGACCAAACATCTGACACGCTTGGACAAGGTGAAAGTGGATTCCAAGATGGCCTTTATAAAACATGCCCAGAATGATGAGAAATTAAACCTGTATGATGTCTCTTTATGTACAGCTTTAATAGAAAAGAAATCCTAATCTAGAGTATCAAAATACCGTAGTCATATAAACATATGAGAGCATCTAATACAAAAGTAAAAAGTGTAAAACACAAACTTTTTTGGAAATTAAATATCCTAAAAAAGTTGGGCTTTTTTTTTTTTTTCCAAAAAAACCCAATAACAAACCAGGAATTTGTGTGCTGTAAAAAAAACCAAAAAGGATTACATCTCCCCTCGTCTCCGAGTTTTTGCTGCAACAGCTCTGCCTTCCTCTTCCTCCTCCTCTTCCTCCTCATAGTTTTCTTCATGAACTTCTTTCTGGTTGTTCTCTTCTTGCATTTCTTGCTCTTGGTCTGCCCCTCCATTATTCTTTTCATCTGCCTGATTGAAAATAAGGCAACAGCAGATTTAGATCAACTGCCAGTTCATTTTGGGGCAATGAGATACATTTAGGAAAAATGACTCAGCTGGAGCTGTTAGAGCTGATGGACAGAGACAGGAGATTTCCAAAGGCCTCCAGGCAGCAAGAAGGGATGTGGGGGTGGAAGGATGAGCAAAAGGAAGTTGCGACGGTGTGAAATGTTAAGGTCTATGATCTACAGCAACGATTATAACGTGTCACTGTGCCATGAGGGCAGCTCTGCCAGGTGTTTAGTCATGTCACAGGGTCTGTGGGTTCACCAGGACTTACATTGTCCTCATTTTCACCATATGGCTCTTCAGGGTTGCGTTCCAGTTCTCGTTTCTTCTCTTCAGTCAGATCTTCTTGGATCTACAAAGCACAGAGATGATCCCTACATTTTTATTTCCTTTTAAAAAAGTAGCCTGTGGCATAAAAGTACATGTTTTTTACAGCTAGACTTTTACAGAATGAAGATTCAAAAGAAAGGGAGGAGGGGGCATGGAGAGGTTAAAGGAGGGAAAAAAAAAACCCAGCCACCTGACAATCAGGCAACTCACTTCCTGTGAGAGTACATTTAACTTTTAACTGCAATTCTGACAGACTCTCTTATCATCAGCTAGCACATGGACATTTCCATTCTGTATTTTAACTTTCCATATATATATTCTTCTCTCCTTGTCCTTCATAGTAAGAGTGTCATGACATAGCAAAGAGCCACTACTGACACTTCCACCCACTTCTGTGGGTTAGTCAACTAACCACAGAAGCTGCTCCTGATTACAGCATCTTAACTCCTTCTGCTCAGCCTAGAGAAGAGAAAGCTCCAAAGAGACCTTATGGCACCTTCCAGTACCTGAAAGGGGCCTACAGGAAAGCTGGGGAGGGGCTTTTCATCAGAGAAGACAGTGATAGGACAAGGGGTAATGGTTTTAAACTGAGAGGGGTTAGATATGAGGAAGAAATTCTTCACTATAAGGGTGGTGAAGAATTTGAATGGGTTTCCCAGGGAGGTTGTTGATGCCCCACCCCTGGAGGTTTGTAAGGCCAGGTTGGATTTTTGTGCAACCTGATCTAGTGTTGGGGATTCCTGCTCATGGCAGGGGGGTTGAAACTTGATGATCCTTAAGGTCCCTTCCAACCTTAGTGATTCTATGATTCTTGACTGCTCATTCAATCATTGCTCACTTTCCCATTTCCAGTAACACACTGGTTACAGCCCTTTATGAAATGTATTAAATTGCTTCCTGTAAGCCAAAGAATAGTTGCCAAAGCCTAACTATTCCCAGTTCCTAATGACATGGCTTGATTTAAGGAACCTTATTTAGAACTGGTGAATTCTAAGTGCATACCAGGTAATTTAGACAAAGTGTTTCCCATAAGGGAGTAATGAGGAGCTGTTTCTATTGCTTTTGGTAAATCATTATGTATGGAGTAGAAAATAGCAATTGATTAGGGATGTATGAAAGAACTGCAGGGCAGCCTGTGCCAGTGTATGCAGAAGGAGCATGCCATTTGACATCCAAAGAACAAAGCCCCCTTTTCTCTCCAGTTTTCCCATCCTTTTCTCTCCAGTTCAAAGCAATGTGCTAACAGCTTCCTGACTGACTCCAGGACCAGCAGGGGTTTACACAACTTGGATTGCTGAGGATGAGTACAGATAAATCAAAGTTAGAGCTAAAGAGTATAACTGGCCAAGGAAGCAGTTTGTCCAGAACAGCAGTAGCTGATTAGAGATGCAAAGTTAATGAGGTTTTCTGTGACCTTCAGAGGCCTTGAGGTTTTCAGGAATTTTTCCTTCTGTTGTGCCTCACTTAATCTTTTCATTTATTGCACAATTAATGCTGTGTTGCATGGAAGACCAATGGATTGCAGCATATAAGCATGAGCAGCACTAAATGTGTCCAGAAGCGGACAGCAGAGTAATGGCAAAGACTTCATACCTTTCATAAAGTCAAACTGATTTGGGATCATTTTGCAGTTACAAAAGGATATTAAATGTTAATGAAGATGTGCTGTGCTACCTGAGTCTACAGAGGCCTTTTGTCTGCTTTCTTACCTCCTCTTCTCCTTCTTCCTGATATTGTTCATCCACATTATCCTCCTGCTGGTCAGGATTTCCTGCCATCTGCAGAAAGATCATATCAAAATTTAGCTCCCTGTTCCTGCCTATTAACTTCAGAAAACCAAAGGTTCTTGTTCTGGAACTAAAACTTTATGTAAAGCTAAAGTAACAACAATAATAGAAAATGAAGTTCTAGTGTGTTCATTTAGCTTTGATGATAGCCCAGCTACATGATTTAGAACTGGACTAAATTAAAAAAGGAGACAGCAAAATGATTATAATAAAAATCACTTCGAAGAATAAAGCCAGACTTTCCATACTAAGCAAGAAGATAGTGACACATTCACACCACTACAGATTCATGCCATGAAAGTACAAGCTCTCTCTGCCTAGAGGAGTTTACAGCTTAAACAAGGTTGAAATGTTCAGTGTTCCCTGGAATGGCCACAGAAAGATCTGAAGACTGTATGGACAGGGAGACTGTTCTTGGAGAGGTTTCTGTGAAGGTAAATACAGGGCCTCTGGACTGAGATGACAGGACCTCACTGAGTGGAGCCAGTGATGACAGACACACCAGGAGCAACTCACATTGTGACCTGCAGATGTCATATATGGTTCAAAAGAGATCTCTAGAACTCGGTGTTCTCTCAACAAGCTACGTTATACTGTCCTTAAAGAGGACCTATAGTTGCTTCCTTTGCCTTTACTGACCACTAGGTGCTCTTCCATTCCTGGATGCCCTTGTTTCTGACTGGTCTGCTTGTGCTTTTCATTTTCATCTGGCAGATTTTCTTCTCTCTCTTGCTCAGCTTCTTCAAATTCATCTTCTCCCTGATTGTTAGGGTCATCAGCAGGATTCACATCTTCCATGGCAGCCTTCTGTAATTTTTAGAAGTGAATGTTAAAAACATTTTTATCTCACAGTCAAATTCCATTTCACTGGACAGGTACCCTAGTGTGAGCTGTATCAGAGCCAACTCCATATCCACTGAAATCCAGCTGGGATCTCTCTATAGGCACTAAGGGACCCTAGATCAAAGCCTGGCCAATACAGAAGTGTCAGGTCCTGAAAGAAAAAGTACTTCAGCACTGACACAGAGAGCTGCAGTATCTGTTAAAACCCAGGCTGAATCTGAGGACTTTTTTCACATAGGCTGTTCAACTGTTTCGTTAACTGACAGTGCCTGGTAGAACCAGGTGAAAAAAGGTTAAGAGTTGAAATGCTCGTGGCTCAAAAGAGCTGTTGTGATCTTCCAGTATCTGTCTGTCCTGCAGTATTGGCCTTGTCTATGTTTGTAATAAAACAAAAGAAGCAGCACTCACTTTTCATCATACTTTGCCATTCAGAAAACAAGCATTTCCTTTCTGCTTATCATTCAGTAAAAACATTTCTGGTAACTTGATGGCTGACAAGTTAAAGATTCTTTAGAAATATTCACTATAAAACTTGATTTGCTGAAGGCAAGGGCATGTTGTGGATGTGTGATGTTCCACACCATCAGCTAAGATGGACCTTGGGGGAAGGCCCAGGACAATGTGAGTCCAGATCTCTGTGAAGTGGTTACCAGGGCTGTGCTCACTGCTGAGCTTTGTCCTTACTCAAGACCTCATGCTCTGTACTGATTCCAGCTGATTTCAGTGGCTACTGATTTGACTCTGAACTATGAAAAATACCATTACCACTGTTTTTAACTGACCACCAATGAGTTCCTCCTGCTACTTTTTTTAATCTCAGCTAAGTCTGAATCTTTTATTCTGCCTAAAGCCCAAAAAGGATGTGGAAAAGCAACTTTCTTCCAACAAGGAAACATTTCAGATTTCTTCCCAAATCAGTAAGGACAACATTAAACAGGTCTTAGATGTAGTTTCAAACTGTCAGACTTGTTTTCCTAGCAGACCTCTGGTTCAGCTGATGTCTGTAATGTGCAATTATGTTAGAGGAGATTCGGGGGTTTCACTTCAGTAGTGACTGCAGTCTGTATCCTCTTCATTCATACTCACCAATTCATCAGCCTGCTGGTCTTCTCCCTGATGTTCTGGTTCCTGCTGCTCATTTGCATGATTTTGATCATCCTCTTCACCTTCATCTTGGTGCTGGTTGTCACGTTCATAACCTGACAAAGTTTTGATATTGTTACTGTAGTACAGCAGTTTCTAGGCAGCCTTCACCTCATGAGCTGATCAGATAATGCCCACAGAACTGTTCTACTGCTGGGAAGAAACCAACACTGAAAGATTATGTGATTTGAAAAGATCAAACAGAACCACAGGCAGAATTAGGAATGTGATCCACAAAAGCCTTATCCTAGTAGCTCAATCCAAAGGACACACTTCCTTTCAGGAACATGGATATGATCTTAGTAATACCTGTACCTCAGTCAGTCACTTCAGCCACTGTTATCTGAAATTCTGGCTTTAAATTGTAAGCTTATATTTCACTTGCATCCAAACTGGATATGAAATTAGTATTAAAATCTTGCATGCAAGACAGTACATGGGGAACCTGTGAATGTGACAGGGACAGAAATTTATCTTACCTCCCTCCTCTTCCTGAATACCTTGCTCTTCTTCCCCTTGTACAATATCATGGTCCATGTTATCATAATGAGCCTGCTGGCTGAAAAAATTAAATACATAATTTCAGATTCAAAAGTGTTTCTGCTCTAGTAAAAAAAAAAACCAAACCATCCTACTGCATCTCTGCCTCTCCCAGCTCTTGGAAGAATGGAATCCAGTTTAACTTCCTATGACCTAGTGCTTTCTTATATAACCTTTCCTGAAATACACTTTATAGAACAAAGTCTTTCTTGTCCTGCTATCCTAACTTCTGTGATTTTATTTCTCTATACATCAATGGGATCTGCTTTGTATTTTCAAAACTCCTAAGGTAGTATATTCCATAATCACAGCACAAACACTATGAACTGGAAAGAACTTCTCAGATAAAGGGTCTTAAACACAGACTACATGGATCAGTTATTTTCTTGAATAAGCAGGTTTAGCTTTCATCTTGAAAGAGGTTTATTTGTGTAGTTTTTCTTGCAGGACTGAATATTTTGACTAGCAATTTATGGAAGCCTTGCTCATACAAAATCCTTCCAGAACACAGGTCGAGTTAATTATTAATGTGTCAATGTTTCAGCAAAGAAAATCTGATGGACTTAAGATTCTAAATGTGAAAAATTTGTCACCAATGATTTCAAACTAAGCAGAAGCATAAAGAAATATGAAAAGGAGGTTAAAAAGCATCTAGAAGCTATAATATCATTAATACAAATGAAAGCACAATAACTTTATTAAAATAATGTGTCTGAAATCATGCTTTTGTCTCTGCAATACAATAACACTAATTGCTCTTGTCCAGAAAATCCTCTTGGAATTACACAAAAACAGCATCTCACATTTAAGAGGAATTTCAGCTTAGGTACCTGAATGCAGGTCTGATACTGGAGCTCCTCAGTACTAGATGATAGTAATTACTGCTTAGCAGAAAACAATGACTAATTTAAAGCAAGCTTTAAGAGCAGGGGCATTGTATGCCAGAGGCTCCTAAGCTTCTTCAAGGACGCACATGGTAATGTGCACTTCCTGCTCCAGACTTCAGAGGCTTCCATAGTAAAAGGAGAAGAAAAAAAACCCACAAAAAAACCCCAAAACAAACAAAAAAACACCCTTAGAACAGCAATCAGATTTATCCTTGGAAAGAAGATGAGTTCCTGAGCAGTTCATGTTTACAGCCTTAAACCGCCCTCTTTTCAAAGGTGGTAGCCATAAAACCCAGAGCACAGATGACAAACTTGTATAAAAAGAATTTAACCTGAGCTGTTTTTTATAGAGTTTTTCTTCTTGTTCTTCCTGCTTCTGCAGCTGAAGCTCTTTTTCTTGAAGCTGCTGCTGCCCTAGGAGCTGTTCCCGCAGCCTCTGCTGCTGCAGTGAGGCCTGATGCTCTGGCAGTTGATGGGCTTGATCTGCTCTTTGGGCTGCAAGATGTTGCTGCTCCAGTTGCCGTTCATAGACTGGCTTGTGTCTTTTTGTTGCAGCTTTTGTTGATGTGATCTGTCAAAGAAATGTTAGTTGTAGATTAATCATCATTGCAATGACCAGAAACAAGCACATAGAGAGACCTGTGACACCAGGGATAATTCTGCAGCTGCTGCACACAATAGGCAGAATTACAGCACATTTATTTTAAGTTTTCTTGTCTCTGCTTCAAGTTGAATTACTTTTTTGAACACAAAAGGGGTGCCTGTGGAGGACATGAGGAAGGAAGAGGAGATAAAGGGCTGGAGAAGCCCTGCTTTTCTTACACAGCAATAATAATAACCCCCCAACATATTACCAGTCCAAGCAAGTTTTGATGGCTGACCATTAATACAGTAAATATCCTTCCATTGATTTAACTGGTCAGGATTTAACAATAGGGGCTATTTGAGTGCTTTAAATGAGACACTGCACATTTTTTGTAGCCAGTAGTAACTTAAACTCCAGTTTCACAGCTTAACCTATTGCTGCTGTTTTAATCCACTGCACCTCTTTGACAATGGCTCCTCATCATGCTGGTTATAACAACAACCTGCTGGGAGAGTGTGTGGTTACAGAGCCTAAGGTGAGATCACTAAAATGCATTCTGGATTGGATCTCCAGTGGAAAATGTAAACCCAGGGTTTGCTGGTTCCATTTAGAGCTGTATAGAGCAAGACCTGCAACTGCTGCACACTGATTTCCCCTGACTATTTTAGTCATGCTCATCTTGAAGTTAAAAATCATGCTAGTCTTGAAGTTAAAACTTCCCATCAAGTGACAGTGACCATTTAGGTGGCAGTGTGCTTGTAGGTACACCTGACAAGGAAACCCACTGCTATTTGCTAAGATGCACCAAATTAGTAAGGCAGGACAGGTCTCCATCAAGGCATAGAAAATAAATCTCATTCTCATCAACTCTCTTCTTCAGATCAGGTACCAGCAGCCTCAAATTTCACGTAGGAGATGGGATTCAACCAGACTGCTCTTTTTTTTCATCTGTTCCTTTTTCTCAGCAGAATTAATGTTCATTAAGCTGCATTTGGCAAGCACTGCAGTATGTGTGTGCTGAAGCTGAGCCTGAATCCTATGCATCCAAGTGCTTTGAATCCCAAATTTTCTATAAATCTGATCATTTTCTCTAAAAACCAGTGAGTGCTCTGAATCCCAAGCTTTCTATAACCATGACACTGACTTTCCCTAGAAATAGGGGAGTGCAATTCAGGAATTACAAGAATGAGAAAATGCCTCTTAACTAAACAGCAAATGGCTCCATACCTCAGAATGAAGGTGATCACCCAACATGTTGGTTTCTTCTTCTTTCTGTTCCTCTTTTTTCCACTCACGCTCTTCTGGAACTTGATCCTGCTCCTCCTCCAAGTGCTCAGGCTGACCTGCCTGCTCCATTTCTTCCTCTTCAAGTTCTTTTTTGCGTTCTTCTTCACCTTGATCTACACGTTGCTCTTCATCCTCTCCAGCTTCTTGTTGCTCCTGAATATTTAGTTCCCTGGCATGCTGGCCTTCCTCAGCCCTTCTTTGCAGATGAAAAGGCTCAGCTCTGTCATCTTTTTCCTGGGTCATTATTTCTTCTCTCTCATTTGGCTTCTCATTCTGCAAGACATACAGAAGATTATGTGTGCACAAGATGTTATGGATTTCATATTTTCAAGAGAGCCAAGGACCAGACATGGATGCTTTTATTCCAGGCTGGCAGTAGTGGTGGGCAGGAGAGCCAAAGGCCTCCTCTGGAACAAGCAGCCCCTCAATGCCCAATTCCCAGCCCTGCACAGCTGCACCAGGTGTTGCACAAGTGCATCCAAGCAGGTTAAGCCACATTTTATCTGAAGAGGAACTAACCTATTGCCATTCTCTATCTACAAAGGAAGCTTTGTATTTTTATTTCCTGCAGGTTCTGCTGGCCAAGAACTCTTGTAAAACAAAACCACAACTGATATTATAACTTGCTAGACTTTACCCACAACTTTATTTCTTTTTTGAGGATCAGAGAGTGGACCAATACTATGAACACTGACTTCAAGTGTGCCACTGAAACTTCATAAAATCTGTGAAAAGACAGTTTCTTCTGAACTTGTTAAAGTTTTTTTCTGTAACTCATGAGGCATCTAAAATTTTAAAGGCCACTTATAAAAAAGTTTTTACTGACTTCTTAAATCAGCTGCCATAAGTCAGTTTTAAATGCATCTATAATTGCACGAGAAAAGGTTGCAATTGATATATTTTTCAACTACTCATTAAATTAAACTGTCCCTTACTACTTTACTCAAGACCTGATGTGCAAATTAAACATAGCTTCTAAAGGAAGTTAAGCACATAGTATTTTGCTGAACAACAACCATTCCCCATGGAGCCTGTAGCCAGTCAGGACTTTGTACCTCTTTGTGCTCTTCAGCCACAGCTTCGTGGGGCACGGGGAGGTCACTGTGGGGAGGTGGTGCCTGCACCTCTTGTTGCTCATTTGGTCGCTCCAAATTCTCAGGCTGGCGGAAACTTGGCATTTTGTTGAGTGTGTCCTTCAGCTGCCTGTACTCCTCCACCTGGGACTAAAGTCAACACATTAATTACAGCGTGTCCAAATTAATTTCTTAATAAATAAGTCACCTCGGAGTGAACAGGCTGAAAAGTCATATGGTAGAGACATGATACTCCCATCAGAGCAAGTATCAGGGAGGAGAACGGATAAGAGCTTTTCAAATCAGTTGTTTCCACGTGCTAAATAACATTGACTCATGACAATCTTTTCAGCCACAGTGCACGTGCATGCAGAGTGTATCAGAAAAATCTCTCAGAGACTAAGATTTGTTTTGTTCATGCCAAGCAGGAGAATTGTCAGAAGGGGATGATGCAGTTGTCTTGGCAAAGCGAGGGAAACTGAGAGCACCACAACTTCTCCTTTACTGGTAGAAAGAAATGCAGTTCTTTCAGAAACAGGAGGTTAAAAGTACATACACCCATCATGAAAATGCCAAATCCTCCACATTTAGATGGGTGTTACACAAGACAACAGCTGATGTACAGAACTGAGGCAAAGAGAGTCATAGTAATAGCACACCTTTGGTGAAGAACAAGAAAAAGGAAAGAAAAGGGAATATATAAATTTCTAAAGTATTCCTGAAATGCAACAGTAAAATGTTGTCATTTGATTTGCTGTTAACTTTGTACAAGGTCAAAAATATGTGAGGATGCAGACTGGCTGGTGCACCTGCCTCCCCAGCAGATGTACAGGAAAGACCATCTCACAAAGAATAATTTTTGAGATGGGCAGGATTTATACAAGCTGACCAGATGCTTATAGAAAACGTGGTGCCCCACAGAAGTGTTTCTCTGTTGCTCCAGTGGAGGCAATGGGTGTGTTTTCTACCCATGTTGAAGTCAGAGGTGCATTCCATGCTACAGCTGACACTGGGTGACTCCGTGTGTGACTTGGTGTGTCCTGCGGGATCGTAGCAATCAATAGTACAGCAGACAGGCAGGATGCATTGATGTACAATGCAAAATACTAATACAAAACAAGATCCCCAGTGCTACAGATTGACATGATGCAATGCACAGCAGCTCTGAAGCCAGACGCACCTCGAAGCACCTCCCAAAGCCTAGGGCATCCAATAAATGGGACAGGCCTAAAAGCAAAGCAGAACGTGCAGTAATTACTCTTGTCATTCCAGAGGGACCCTTCTCTTTCCTGATTAGCCCTTGGAGAGTCCAGTAGGAAATTTTAGTGGGAAAAAAAATAGTATTTACTTAATGCAAGACTAATGCCCAGGTCTCTGATTGATGTTTTTTTCCCCCCACTCACTGCCCATGCAGAGAGACTAATATATCAGGATATGGAAACAGAGCACATCCAGATCAGGACTGAGGTGCTCCCTTCCACTGCACAAACCACTCTGAGCTGAACATTGTGATTCCAAGCCACAGCCTAAACTGTGTTAATACTGGCAGAAAAACAGGGTTTATAAAAATATATATAATGAACCTGTCTGGTTGTTGGAGCTATGGAGAAGTACAAAGATTACAATGCCTTTAAGATTCAGGTCACAAATTCATTAGTGCAGTATTGGCTACTGATATTTAAAGTCTAGAACACTCTTAGAAATAGAGGGATGGTTTATTGAGCTGTGTTCCTAAGCAGCAATTCCTTGTCAACTTTCTGGAGCTGGTTTGCAGGAGAAACTGTGCAAGGGTGCTAAATACCTTCTGGTCTGAAAGAATGTGCAAGGTCCTTCTGGTGAAGAAAAGGTTCTCCAGATGATAAATGGCACATTGTGATTGCAGATAGAAAGGCTTTGTGTGACACAGGTTTTCTAATTAAAGAACTGAATCAGAGCCAGGAGAAGAATAAGCAGCTTCCCTTTGGATTTGGTGAACCTTTAATCAGACCCTGTATCTGCCCTTGTGGAATTTCAGATGTTAGCAAATACATACCAAGTAGCTAACATGGCCAGTGGGAGAACAGCTTAGAATTAGCTGCCAGCATGTTTTAGTAGTGGAAATTAAAGACTCTTCATATATTTAGTCTTTGTGGGACTTTGCTGGTCTTTCCCAATGTTTTCAATTTCTACACATATTGACACGCATGAAAGGCAGAAATGGGGGGGGGGGAGGAAGACTAAATGCTTTTAGTGCTCCTAATGATTTTGTGGACCATGAAAACACTTAAATGAAGAAAACTAGTCAGGAATAAATATAATTTCACTCTGCCTCACTGCCTTCCCCTCTGATCTTTCACCAATAGTCTTTCTCTGCTCCAACATTACTCCTGCTCTCCAATTCCCTGTGGCCTACACATCTTGGCCTGGCAGAGCTGACTGCATCTGCAATGCTCTAGCAAAGTCTGTGCTTTGGGGGTGGTTCATTTGAAAATGACATTTAAGAAAGGTGATGCTGCTGCTTCTTTCTAACTATTTTGAGCTCCACCTGGAGTTTAGGTTCCTCCGCATACACCCTCCCTCTGTTGCACTTATGTATATCACCTTATAAACCTTCCAGTCATACACAAAGAGACTTTGTAGTACACCAGCATCCAGGGCTTTGTAATGATACATGGGAATGTCAGTGTGGGAAGTTAAACAAATAGAAGTTCTATCAGAAAAGACAGAGAAAGAAAGGTATTTGACAGCTCTCATGGAAGCAGATACTGTTCTTATTGGTAATACATGCACCCTTGGTCTGCAATACAGCTTTTAAATTTCCAACAGCCCTATGATTTGTTGCACCTTCTTGTTAAGAGCAGCCCTTGATCTCATGCATTTCCCTGCAGTGTGCAGCATGGTGCCAACTGCACATTCCCCATGCCAAAGGCTACATGCATCCCATTCCAGTCAGCTGCACTAGAAGAAACAAGTTTTAGGAAGGTAGAGCTAGAAGCTGCTTTCCTTTCTGACCTGTGCAGCTGCTAGTGCACTCTTGTGGTCTTCCAAAGTCACTACAAGCTGGTTGTGTTGGGAGAGTAAGTTCTTATGCTGTTGCTATACAAAAAGAAGAACACGACATGTTTCACAAAAAGTTAATTCTAAAGGTAAATGAGGTTGCCTGGGGGATTTTGAACTAGGAAGATAATTAGATTTATTTCAAAAAGAAAATCCTGAATTGGAATGACAGCATTTATTTACCAGGGAATGAGTATTGAACATGCGAGCACGCCAGGGAAGAAAATTCTGGAGGCCAGAATTTGTGGAACTAAAATACAGCTAAAAGTTGGAGGAGATGTCAATGATTGTTTTTCATGAACTTCGTCTGCCAAAGCACAATTCTTAACGTGCAAAGTCATTTTTCCAATTTCTATACTAAATACTTCTCTTCCAATTCTTTTGGGTTTGTTTTTTTTCAAATAAGCACATACCTATAATGCAACCAGGAAAGGTCTAGATAGGATAGGCAGTTCAGCCACATTTCTCCCCTTTTTGCCAGTAACAGCAGATACCATTCTTCAGTTTAGGCCACCTTTGGCTTGTTAAAACTTGGGAAAATTTTTTACTTTTCCTAATGGTCTTGATAGTTCTACTCAAAGCAAAGCCTACCTTGACATCTTGTAGCTGGGTGTGAATGTCTTGGTGAGCTTTTCTCAACTGTCTGTTCTCCTCCCGTAAGTTATACAGGGATTCTGGTTAAAAGAAAATACATATAGAATTTAAACCCTGTCAGATTTAGAATACTAGATTGAGCACCAAAATTAAGACTGTAACACAAACTACATAAAATCCTACACAATGGAAATAGTAAAAATAGATCAGAATTACTGTCTGGCTGCTTTACATCTCTCCCCAGCCCTATAAAAAAGCCTTACATTTTCAAGCAGAAAATTGTAAAATTTGGTTAAACTTTCCAGTTGCACACCCAGTCTGCAACTGGAATTGTGCATCATTGTTGATGCTGGGGACTGCAGATGGCAAAGTTCATTCTGGTAATCTGAATCTTTAAAATACAGAGAGGAAGCCACCCTCCCCTCTCCCCACATGGCATCTAGGGAGTGAGAATTTTTTATCATATTATTCTTTTGGAAGAGGTGCCCAGAGGGCCAGCAGCCTTAAAAAGCTTTATGTTCTGGGACCAGGGAGAGGGGCTTCTCTTCCCACTTCTTACATGATGCAAGAAGACACAGGCAGGCTCTTCCCACACTCCAAGCTGCTAGGGCTGCAATCCAGCTCAGCCTAAGAGCTGTATGACTTCATTGGTGTGGTGCCAAGGCAGAGCTAATAAACACAGCCCCTGCCTGCAAAACACTGTGCAGACAGAACTGCAGACAGCTCCAAAACTAACTCATGTGTTACTGACACATGGCAGAAAGCAGCTGAAAGCCCTCGGTGGGGGGAGCCCCCTCCTTTTCTTCTATGCAATTGTGTAATTAGGATTGAAGAGGTCTGCAGACTGCAAACAATCTCCATTATAGGAAACTGGATGCCAGGAGTGAAAAATGAATACTTCATCATCCAAGAATACAGGTGCAACATGTTTCAGAGAAGCTGATACATACAGAGAAAGTGAGGTCTAAAATGTATATAAAGTCACTTCATAAAAAGGCACAATTAAATCTCTGATAGAAGTGGCAAACATGCTTAGATTCCTTCGATTTACAAAAAAGACCAGAGACAAATAAATTCTTCCAAGTTTATACAAGTCTTAGAACTAAAATGGAAAGACTGGATAAAGCAGCCACTTACCCATGATGGACTTTTAAATACTGTTTCTTACTACTTCCCTAATCTAATCCCTAATAGGAACACAAAGTACACACATTAATACATTTCAGAAAGAGGCCACAGAAAATCATCCATAAAATGTAACTTATCAGAAGGCATAAGATGCATGAATGACCTGTTAGTGAGAAGAGAGACAACGCCTTTCTGTCTCACATCACAGAAAACACAGTGCCAAATGCACGTTTTAATGTGGGCAGCCAGATACAGGTTGCACATACCCTTCAGCTTAGAGATCTCCTGCTCCTTTTCCTGCTGCAGTTGCAAGTAACGCTCCTTGTGATCGTTGAATGTTCTGCTAAATTCTTCTCCTTGTTTTCTGTGATCTTCCTCAAGGTCAGCATGTTGCTTCTTTAGTTCTTCATGTTGACTCTGCAAACAACAAGTTAGACATTGGAACAGTTCTACATCTGCATATCTGGCTAATACTGTCTTTGGCAATTTGTTAAACAAGTCCAGATGAATGGGAAGCATTCATAACAAGAAGTTTATTATTCAAAGCATGCATGTTGCAGGTCCTCTCAAACACAAAACCATCTCTGTGATGAGTAGCCTCCTGTTCTAGGGCCACGTCACCTCACCTTGCAGTTGCACTGTCCCATTGGGAGCTGCTGGATGTGCCTAAGAAATTCCTTACATGCAGTCTGATAATGCAGTGTCCCATACAAGTGATAAGATTCAGTTTCCTACAGGAAAGCCTGACTAGGAAAAACTGCAGTGAAGCATCTCTTTAATGGTACTGCTGCAAGAGGAAGGCAGCCTCATGCACTGACATTCCAGAGTGAATGACCAGCAGCCAGGGAGGCCGTGTCCCCCTGCCACTGTCATGGCAGAACCTGAGTTCTGTGACACTGGGACCTCCTTACCCACCTTCAACATCTGGTGCTGCACACTCAGGGCACTGTACCGGCTGTTGGAGTCTTGCTGGAAAAGGAAAACACATGGTTCAACAGAACAGTGCTGTCAACCCTCTAACCCCTGTACATGCAGCTCCTCAGGAGTCACAAGCCAAGGGACATAACTCCCCAGGAAACAAATCAATCTCTCCACTTACTGCAGCAACACTGTATTTTAATTTAGGTTACTCAGCTCATGAACTGCTCCCCAGTTTCAACATGAAGTAGCCATAAAATCCTGATTTACTTGCTTTATAAAGAGCTGTCTGCAGGTCTCTGGGTCCTTTGCCAGATACAGCTTTCCTTCTGGCACTTGGTATATAAAACAAAGTTTCTTGATGTTTTTATACTTTCCAGTTCAAAGACCATGTGTTAGGAAATTGTCACTTCTCCCTGACCTTTCCTCTGTGGACTAAGCTACAACAACAAATTCTAATGGCTTATTATTCCTCTTTCCCCTTAAAAATGGTAACATTACGTTTGAACTACCATAATATAAACAGGAGATTATTTTATAAATTAATTTTCTGGAAAGATATTAGAATCTCCTATTACAGCTCAAATAATTAGGAGCTGTAGAACACTTACACATGCAGAGTAGAAATTGAACAACTGAGCA